AATAAAACATGTAAATATATATTTTGAAATAGATATTAATTGAGTCAATACTTTTCTTCTGAAAATTCAAAAGATAATAAAAATTGTGATTCTGGCTGTTCTTTTCTAAAATATTGAAGTAATGACATATATATATATATTAATATATATTAAAATTTTGGTAATTTTTTTTTATGCACATGGAAAATCTACAAAAAAAAAAATAAAATAAAAAAGAAAAATATCTGACAACTCTTTTTTTTTCCGGAAGTTAAAAATTTTAAAAGGAAAATCCGGATTTTTAAAGTATAGTGCGAGACACCTAGTCCCACAACTTTTTATTGGCCTTGTAGATCCTTTTCTAACTCCAAAAATGGAAATGTAAACCAAAAAAATAAGTCGTAATTTTGAAGCTAAGACCTTTCTCTACAAAGTTACGATTTCATTTTGTTGATATGTCACAGCATTGCGGAGTTAGAAGGGCTCAAAGTTGCACAAGTTTACTATGTTCACGAGGAATTGCCGCTATGATCGTTGCTAAATTTAGACTAGACCATGGTAATCCTTTCTAAATTTAGCAGTAACGAAAAGATGAATTATTCTTTTGAATAATTGGATGCGAAACATCCTAGTATTCTTTTGCACAATGATGTAATTTTTCATAAACAACTATTTTGTGGCCAAATGGTGAATTGATTGAGTAATCTAATAAATTACTACAAAAACATATAATAGACCAAAAAATTGCAATGGTTGATTGAGCAAGTAGTGCCAAAATGGTATCTGTGATTTGATTTTTACAATGTAAATAAAGATATGTACATACGATTTATTAGATAATTAGATAGTATAAGCATGTATAATACACTAGCTATACCAGAAAAAAGGAAAGATGAGAGATGACAATTAATCTATTGAATATGGAAAATACATGTGTCCAAAAATTCTTTGAGGGCGAAGCTCTCAAAGAATGCTCTCTGCAGGAGCATTGGCTTCTTCACATGAAGAAGGAAATTTTTTTTTAGCAATGTTATAACATTATATATATATCAGTCTGGGATTTTACCATAATCGGTATGTGAGATGATCTTACCATATGCAGTCTGGAATTACCATATCGGTATTAGTGATGATCTTTTACCATAAAAAATGACACAGAATATTTAAGCATAGTGGAAGTTTGTTGTTACACGAAATGTTATGCAGAACTTATTGCTTCTGAAACTTTGCCATTATATAGTTGTTACCTCTCTAAATTGGAGATCAAGTTCAGATCCAATTCAAATCCAGTTTATCACTTACTTTTTATTGCCAGAATGTTTGCCGTGTATTGTAAAGCTACGTTGCACAATATAAAAAATTAGTGTAACATTTCAAATTTCCACTATGCTGAATTGTTCGGGGTCCTCATTTATAGAAGACGCCAAATTTTTACTTGCAGATCTGTATATCACATGTGATAATTTATTATTATTATTATCAAAAAATTAATTGGTTAAAACATCTAAATCTGTTAATATTGTATCAGGGATTTTTCTATGTGACTTGAAATAAACTGAAATATTACCTGTTCAATCAGTTTATCAATATTCCACCATCCATCATAGTTTTTTCCTGGATTAATTAATCATTATTCTTGCTTGATGAGGAATTGAATCCCTGAATTAATCAATTTTGCTGTTGGTTCAATTTTAGCCTTCCAATAGTTTCAGTAATGAAATCACTCACATGAAGTGACCAACCTTGTCCTTTTTTTCTTAATGGTTGTTCCCCTTCAGGCATCCAACCAGATTTTAATCCTTCATTTGACTGGAAGATAGCTTCATCATGTGTTACAAGTATGTGGACTTTCTCTCCTTCATTTAATTCTGGATTTATTTGAATCTCAAGATTCTCACCTGAAAAGACTGGCATTAATTTTTGATACCTACATTAAGCAAATCCAAGCATGGAGTAAAAGTATTATTTATTGGTTGGTATATCTTTTAACAAATAGTCTGTAATTAATTCTCTACTCACAATTCCATTTGTTCTCAAAACTTCTTTCTATATTCAATCACATCATCTCTTTCATGTCCATCAAAATATAAACCCTTTTTGTATTTATCATATACATAACCCATTTTTTTTAACCATCTATTGGCAGTCATTGGACTATCATAGAGGCAATAGTAAAGTTTTCAGAATACAAAAATCTCTCCAAAAGTTATCATCATTTATTGACTCACAAATAGTTAAAGGCAACCTTAAGTTGTTGTTTCTAGAATATCTTGAAATCTGTGCTTCCATATAATCAGGTTCATATCTAGCAACTAAAGTCTTTAAGCATAAATTTCAAATTTAGAAAATAATTAATCTATGAAATAATAACATTAAAAAAAAAAATACAAACCTTCAATGCTTCATTGGTGTTTAATATGCTTGTTAAGCAATAGAAATAACTATTCCATTGTGTTTCACATGGCCTAATTAAATTAACATATTTCCTATATTGTAATTGTTGCTCATCTTTTAACTTTCCAATAAAGTATGTATGAGTTTTTGATGTGAAATAAGTTGCAATTTTGCATGCATTATTAGCAACAACATCAAAATCATCACTTTCTTTAAATATGTCACCAACACATAAATTAACTTGGTGACTAAAACATGGCAAATATACTATTTCAAGATTCAATATTTGAAGATTTTGACTAAATTTTTAAATAAATAAATTACCAAGCTGCAGCATATTGTGAGGCACTATCAGTTACAACTATACATGCAGTGTATAAATTTCGTCGTGTAACAATATATCCAAATTTAGATGCGCACATTTTTGAAGGACATAATAATAATTATTTTATTTATAAAAAGTATATTTTAAAATACAATAAATTTAATATAGTTTTTTAAAATCTATATCCTTCTTGTTTTCTTACTTCTCCAATACTCATATGCCTTTTCAAAATCAAAATCTTCTATTTCTGGTCCATTTAATAATAACATTAAATGATTACTCAATGTATTAATATTCATTTTATTTCTTAATTTATTTTTTATTAAAGTTTGTTGTGAGAATATTCTTTCTACTTGAGCATTAGAAAGAGGCACAATCAGTGCTATTTTAATAATAATTGTTATTGTTGGATAATTAAAAGAAAAAGCTTCATCATTATCTAAAATTCGTTTCCACAATTGAATAAAGTCCAATTCTGTGTATTTGTAAAATTGAAGATAAGGCTTCACCAAGCTCCATTCTTCCATGAGCCTTCCTTTTTCAATAATTCCACAAAATTCATTATCACTCACAAACTTAGTTTCACCATAAAATTTATCTAGAAACTCTATCTCATTTATTCCATATGTAATTAAATCTCTCTCATTATCAGGAAGTTCTTTTGGATCAAAAATATTAAAAGAGAAATATATTTCAGATTCAGGGAATCTATTTGAAATTGTTTCTATTATTGCCAATGAGTACTCTTTGACAAACAAAGGTACTGACTGATTATATTTGTCTAAATATTTTTTAAATATTATGCCATAATTTGGTGGAATATCTTCATAACCTATAAATTCAGAGATTATATCTTTAATTGTGTTGTCAAGAGTTAATTTAAATTTTGATATTGATAGATTTTCTAATTGAAATATATTGATTAATTTTTTTAAAATATTTGTTAAATCAGCAAGAAACATTGTTGCAGAAATAAATTCTTGATCTAATTGATTCAATAAAACCTCTGATTGCTGATCACCATTTTCCATATCATCATTTATAGCAGCAAGTACAGAGTTCATAATTTGATGCAAGTTATTTACAGAATTTGAAAATGATAGCCATCAAGTGTCACATGAATTCAATACTCTAAGTGATGGTTCATTATTAATTTCCTAATGTTTATATAATAATTAATAAAATGAAAAAATTCATAAAGCAAAGTATTTAAATAATTTTAGAAAATGAATAATTACCTGCATTAATTTTAAAATATCTTGCCTGTTATGTGATCTGGAAAAATACCCATATAAATTATGTAATGTCTTTTCATATTTTTGAAAATATATTACTTTATTAGAAGCATCTTTTCCTGCTAAATGAAGCCTATGTGACACACAATGATTTGATGGCATGAATGGATTGATTTTTTTAAACCTTGCTGCAACACCACTTTTATAACCAGTCATATTAGATGCACCATCACTTCCAAAATGAATTATATTGTCACAAGATATCTCATTTAAGTTACAAAATGACATGATATGGTTATAAATGTTTTCTCCAACAGTTGAGTCTAGATTAATCATGCCCAAATATCTCATAATTGGCATATTATTAGCAATGTATTTTCCCACAATTGCCAAATATTTATCATGATCAATACTATTGGCTTCATCAATCATTAAGCTCCAATAAGATGAAGAATTTAATTCTTCAATCAATGACTGTTTTATCACAAAGGCTATACTATCTAAAAAATCAAACCCAGCCATGGGATTTTTATAACTTGCATATTTTGATCTAGATGCATCAGGAAATTAATTTAGCGTAAACTTGCATAAATCTTACGATGCCGACGTAATATTGTGTAAATCTTACAGTGCCGACGTAAGTTTTACACTTTTTTATTATTAAACTTACAATTGACATGTGTAAAATTTTTTTATATTTTCCAGATGTGGTAATGGTTTTTCTAAGGAAGCAAGTTTTAAAGTAGAAATACTCTCACTAATTATCAATTAATCATTATTTTCAATTTGTAGTGATATTAAATTACATAAATCAGGATAAGTATTTAAGGAAAGATTTTGTTTAGATAAAAAATAAACATTTCTTATTAATGAAATAATGAATAATTTTTCTTTATCTAATAGTTCAGATACATTGTCAGAGGCCTCTGATAATGTATCCGAACTATTTGATTCACTACTATCTGAGTTAAGAAATTGTAATTCTGATTCTTTATGTTCATGGGTATTTAAATGTCACTTAATTCCATCCAGTCTTAAACTTTCTGTGCCTAGTGCAAATTGTGTACTCCCATTTCTATTTCTACAGAGTTTACAAAAAAGAATAGTATTTTCATTAATTACTTCAGTTTCTAACCATGTATAATGAAGAAACCATTTTTTATTAACTTTTTTTCTAGAATGTAAATATTCTGGTTCATTTTCTGATTGTTGTAAATTGTGATTATTAAACATTTTTATATGAATTAATTAATATTAATGAATTAATTTGATCAATTTTGATTTAATTTATTCAACCAGAGTATTTATTAAAAAAATTTGTGCATATTCAGTCATAGATAGATGTCAAGCTGAAATTGTTCTTGGAAAAAAAGATAAAGCTTCGGCTTTATGTTTATTTTTAGCTCGGGTGTTCAGATATATAAATTTACGCACATCCTAAAACAAATATTAATTTTTTTTGTTACACGGATTTTTTGCACAAATTTTTACCAATGTTTATTGGTTGATTCTTGTGTAATCAAAACCCGCACATTCCGCACATTGAATTTTATACACTG